TTTTTTTTTTTTTTTTTTATTGTTGCTTTGTTTTGAGACAATGTCTCACTATGTAGTTCAGGCTAGCCTTGAACTGTGCAACACAGGCTGGCCTCAAACTCATGAAGATCCTCCTGCCTCAGCCTCTCTCCTGAGTACTGGGATTACAGGCACGTGTCACCATGCCCAGTTTTAGACTCTACCTCTTAAAGGTTCCACACTATCTCAGTATCACCTGGGGAGCAAACTTCCAACATGTCGACCTTCGGGGAACAAAACACATACAAAATGTAGTACAGTGTGCTTCCTGGATGTAACAAAACTTTCAGGTGTTTTGTTTTCTTGTTTTGTTTTGTTTTGGGAGAAGGTCTTGCTATGTAGTTCAGGCCAGCCTTGAATTCACTATGTAGCCCGGCTCAAACTCACAGAGATAACCCTGCCTCAGCCTTCCAAGTGCTGGCATTATAGGCATGCCCCACCATACCCAGCAAGAATATGCTTAGTTTTATAAGAAAACAACAAAACGTCTTCCAAAGTGGTTTTCTCATTTTGGATTCCCACCGGCAATGAATGAGACTTCCGTTGCTCCTTGGGGACTCCAGTGCTCTGGATTTGGGCCGATGTCAATGAAGTGGACCGGTATCCCACTGTTTTACATTGCTGTTCCCTGTAACATCCAGTGTGGATCATTTTTTATATGCTTAGTTGCATCTATATCTCTTCTTTGCGGGGGGGGGGGGGTCTGTTAAAGTCGTTGGCCTATTTTTTAAATTGTGAGTTTCTTAATTGAGTTTTAAGAGTTCTTTAGCGAATCATTAAGTAATGTTTTGAGGTATGCAGTCAGTGCCAAGATTGAGTCTTTTCCTCTTCTTCCCAGCTGGAGTCTGCACACTGCCTGGAGAAGCTTGTAAATGTGAGGGTCTCACCCTTCTAAACCTAATTGTCATTCATGGTGATGGAATCCCAGCACCCAAGATCTTCCTGTGATTAAGTTTTCCTTTAAAGTTTCCTTCCCCTTTCTTACTTCCTTCTTCAGCTTTTTCTGACTCTTAATTTCCTTCTGTATTTCTATCCTGTAGCTTTGTGTTTAGTTTTCTCACCACAGATTGTCTCTAGTGCAGTTGAGATTGTAGGATTGCAACAGTGTAGCTTTCAAATCCTTAAAAAGGAAAGGCCCTGACTGAAAATTGTGTACTTGTGTACATATCTCCCTCTCCCTCATCCCTGCATGTGCCTATCCTTTCACTAAACTTGTCTTTCTTCCCACAGTCCCAAAGTGATAGACACAAAATTTCAGTCTTTATCATTCTCCTTCCTCTTCTTTTTTTTTCCTTTCCTACTGCTCTAACTTCTCGGAATTTCCATATTGTCATTTCCAGCACAGCAAACCACATCAATGTGCTGTCTGTGCCCAAAGACTGTGACTTCCTCTGCTGGTGCTGTTCTTCTCCTTGCAAGCCTGAGTGATTGATTAATTGGAGCCACATCAGCTACAGCCCTGGGCAGTTAGTCCCTTAGAGGAGCTGAGCAAAAGCTAAATATGGCCCATTGTACCCACCCTTCCAAAAACCAAATGTCTTACACAAGAGTATATTTATAAGCTGGTCTGTGCCTGTGAGCTTGCTCAATGATAACTGCAATGGTGGTGCTGACTGCTTCCATGCCCTTTCTTCCAGCTCTTTGACAAGTGACTTCTCCAGTTACGACCATGCTTATCTGAGGCGGAGTCCTGACCGGTGCAGCTCCCAGGGGAGCATGGAGAGCTTGGAGCCCAGTGGGGGCTACCCAGCCTGCCGTCTTCTCTCCCCTGCCAAGTCCACCAGCAGCATTGACCAGCTCGGCCACCTCCATAACAAGAGAGACTCGGCATATAGCTCCTTTTCCACCAGTTCTAGCATCCTGGAATACCCACCCCCTGGCAACGCTGGCCGAGAGCGCTCAGGATCCATGGACACTATCACTGCCCGAGGTGGCCTCCTGGAAGGGATGAGGCAAGCAGATATTCGCTATGTCAAGACAGTCTATGATCCCCGGAGGGGAGTCTCAGCTGAGTATGAGGTGAACTCTTCAGCTGTGCTGTTCCAGGGTAGGGAGTCCCAAGCCTCAGCAGATACCCAGGACTGTAATAAGTGGCAGAATATCCCTTGGGGCAAGGGAGCACCATCCTCATCCTGGAGCCAGCAGTGTCCCAGTTCCTTGGAGACGGCCACGGACAACTTGCCTCCTAGAGTGGGTGCACCCCTGCCCCCAGCTCGGAGCGACAGTTACGAAGCCTTTCGGCACCGTGAGCGGCCCAGCTCTTGGTCCAGCCTTGATCAGAAACGATTCTGCCGTCCCGTAGCACACTCTTCAGGCTCCCTGAAGGCTCCCTTTTTAGAGGAACAGTTGCACACTGTACTGGAGAGGAGTCCAGAGAACAGCCCTCCAGTGAAGCCCAAGCATAACTATACCCAGAAGACCCAGCCTGGTCAACCTCTGTTGCCTACTGGCATCTACCCTGTCCCTTCCCTGGAGCCACACTTTGCCCAAGTGCCCCCGCCTTCTGTAAACAATAATGGAACACTTTATCCTGCACTGGCCAAGGAGAGTGGATACACAGCCCCTCAGAAAGCCTGCAGCAGGACGGCTGCCTTCGATGAGAATGGGAACCAGAATGGAGGTAGCAGGCCTGGATTTGCCTTCTACAAGCCCCTAGAACATGGCTCACTGTCCCCAGTGGAGAGGAAACCAGAAACTACAGCCAAGTATGTCCCTTACAAAGTCCATTTTTCTTCATTGCCTGAAAATGAGGATTCCTCCCAGAACAATCATTTTACACCTCCTCACGGCAACAGCCCACATGGCAATGACAGGAAGAGTGCTCCTATCAACAAACTATGTTCTACTAACCACAGCCTCAAATCCTGTCAGGCTCAGGCCGGGCAGGTGGGTGAAGACAAGAGATCTTCCAGGCTTTTGGAGCCATGGGACTGTGATATCCAGGAAGACCACAATGCCAACCTCTGGCAAAAGCCAGGGCAAGAAGGCAGCTTTAGCAAGACCAGGTCAGCCTTCTCATCTCTCCAGAACATTCCAGAGAGCTTTAGAAGGCAAAGCAACCTGGAGCTAAGCGGGGCAACCCAGGTAGGTTCCCCTGATGGTAGGCCAACCTGTGTAGTCAATACTAAGGTAGAAGTTCCAGAGAGGAAAGGTGACAACAGGGGCCATTCGGACAGGCCAGTTTCGTACACAAGGCCTGACGGGAGAGCCAGTGTCATGACTTCTGTGCACAGCTCAGAGCTCAGGGGTGACGAGCCACCGAGCCCAGCACAGGTTTCTGTCACGGCCACGAGGAGACTCAGTTCCGGCAGTACCTCTACCCTGCAGGCCTTTCCTTACGGGCAGTCCCGCTGCTCAGTGCTGGAGAAGGTTTCCAGGATCGAGCAGCGAGAGCGCGGGGGTCACAGACCCCCGAGTGCAGGAGGCTCTGTTCTTGGCTATCACTATAGGCCCAGCGGGAAAGCCCCGAATTCCGGTGCTCCTGGGAATGACTTCCAGGAGACCGAAGCCAAGCCTGGTGTCCACTTCTCCGAGCCACGCGGTGATGGCGATGGTGATGACAGGGAGCCCGAGTGGGAAGCAGCGGCCCGGCAGCCCCGTGGCCCATGGCGGAGAGGACCCACGGAGCCCACAGCCCCTCGGAGGGAAGCC